GCTCAACGCTTGCGTGATCCCAAGGAACCTGCGGCACATCAATGAGCCCACGAAACGTGCCAGTAGCCTTTCTTGGGAGACTGCAATCTCAACCGCTTTCCTGTTGTCCGGACCTGCATCCGGCATGCAAAACTCGTGTGTCGCAGCCATCAGTCTCGCAGCATGCAGCACTTGATGCAATCACCCGGCTGCCGTAGTTGCTGCCTGGAGCATTCACATTCGCCCGATTGCGCAGTAGGAGAGACACTGCCCGAGCATCAGCCTTGATTCCAGTCCGGAGTTTCCATGAATGTAGTGCTGCATGCGCAGCTGCTTTGTAATTGCAGTTTGGCGGGGCCTCTCAGTCTCAGCTCCGTGCTCTTCGAGCAGCGCCGTGCAATGGCGCTTGCTGCACGCGATCCGTAGCATTGGGGTCAGCCTGTGTGGCAAATCGTTACCAGTAGGGAACTCGGTGAATAACAGAACATGTCTTGAATGCTGGGCCACCAACATCTCGGTCCAATAGGGCCTCCATTCCCTCCATCCATGCCATGCGTGACCTCACTAACTGCACTAGCAGCTCTCAGTACACACCTTGTACTGCCGCAACAATCTAAGCTGCCAGCGCGACATGTAATGCTGTTCCACCTCAGGCTGGCGAGTGGCGTAGCTGTTTTGTTCATGTACCCATGTTGTACGTCGGTGTCACGAAACCCATCCACCACAAAATCTTTTGAACGACTGAAATGAGCTAGCCCAAAAGTTATTGAGCTCCGCAAAACTGCCTCAATCAGCATCTTGGCAGCGGAGCACAAACCGAGCACACTGCCTCCTAGCGACTGGTTGCGAGAGTTGATGCTTGCGCCGGATCTGACCAGTCAACAGCGTGCAGCGCAAGAAGCCGGAGCAAGGCAATACGTCAAGTGAGAAGAGAACGACACGGGTGATATTGTTATTGCTGTGGACTTTGCTGCAAATAACTTGACACCCGCATCTCATCACAGCCTGAGCAGTAGGAACATGGCCTCAGCACCAGCAGGCATGTTACATCTCTAAGTGATGCGGGAGCGTGATAGGGGGACTGGGAAACAGGTCCAGGGTGCGAGACGCTGGTGCGCAGCATTGGCTGAAAGTCATGTTGCGAATTCTAATATGCCATAATTGGGCCATTGTATGCCTTACATATAAGCTTCGCAATCATCTACTCTATCCAACGAAAAAGAGCTGAAAGGATGGACAATGGCACTCTGTCTCTGCTGTTCGGACATGGAGAAAGGAACATCGGACACGCGATATTGACCTCAAACCCACCTTCACAACACCCCAACTACCTCCGCTGCTACTCGGCTATCAAGTTTAAACATGAGCTTCCAAGGTGCCAAGCCAATGTCCCTGACTGCCTTTTTACAGCCATCAAGTTGAGACATGGCATTTGCCAGCGTCATATCTTCAGTGCAGGCGGGAGGGATTCCTAGAAGCTGCGGCGAGAAAGGGCTGCTTCGCTTGCTCCCCGGTCAGCTGGCTAACCTCATAGGGCTGAGCACGGAGTTGCACAACTGATTCCATACGTTGGCTTAGCACACGCTCAAAGGCGTTGCCAAAACGGACAATGCAGTCAAGTTTGAAGTAACAACTGATCCCGGCAACCTCTCAATGTTCATAGCCAGGGGGCCGTGAACGAATCGGCTCCTGCGCCATCCACCGCTTGATGGCCTCCTCCAGGTCATCAAGGCGGATGTTCCATGCTCCTGCTGCATCCGGCTCGTAAAGAACAGCCTGACCAAGTGAATGTAGAAGTCGCTTCAGGGAAATGTTGGCCGTCTATAGGTTCTGCAACAAGCTCACAACATGGTGCCCTCCACAGAATCTTGAAAAGCAGCCAGGTGGCCCTGAAGAACTTCAGAGCTGCTCCAGACCCTCCATACCAATAGCCTGGGCGACACCAACATCTCACAGCCACCGAATGCCCTTTCCCACCCCTCCCTGCATCCTTGCGGCTTTTGTACGGCGGCCAATATCCTGCAGTTGCAGCATGTTCTAGGTCTTGGCTGCTCACATCATCAGCGTCATTATCACCATCACAAGCAGCATAAGGATGGTTTTAACGTTCTCGCCTGACAGTCCAGCATGAGCTTCCGCGCTTCCCACAAACTCAATCAGACCTGACAGCACTGCTGCTCCAGATCCCATCTCAACATGTGGCAAGTGTGGCAGGCACGGTCCACAATCTCCAACCTGCATCCGGCTGAAGAAACATCGCATTGGACAGTGCTCCTCCATGCTCTCCAATCACCAGTCGTGCTGATCGAGTCTGCAGGGACGCACCGTAGCACCAAGTCAGCATGCTGTCACAGCATGTGCCCTTGAGGCCCGGGAGAACACCTCAGCACTGAGATCTAAAACCAAAAGCATGGAAGTGGAGCCTCTCTCATCTGGTCCAGGAAATCCATCCGGCCTGCAAATTTGGCTATGGAAATGGCAATGCGCTCAGTTGCGTCCGGGCAAGTGATTAACAGCGATTATCTTGTCGAGGCATCGACGTGCTTTTTGCGCATGCGCCTGGGCAGATGGAAAGAACCCCTTCGGAGCGATTCATGGCCAAGAAGACCTGATGTAACATCTCGTGCTAGAATGGCTCGCAGCTAGGCCTCTTACTGTGTTTGTGAATGTTGCGGGTTTTGCACGAAGAGTGGGCTGAGCTTCGATTGACTTCCTATACTGATTTTCTGGTTCTTGCGATTCTTGCCCAACGTATGTTTCTATGTCACCCAGAACAAGCGGGCTCTGACTCGAGCAGTGCCCCAAGGACAGACCCTAGGATCCATCAGCATGAGTTTTGCTTCTGCTGGTCGTTTTGCTTCTTTTGTCCTACAAGTAGGAACCTTTGCATGAAAATGGGGCAGGCTCTGACCGAGAACATGCCGAGAAGAAGCTTGCTGGCCAGCCACTCGGCTTGTGAGCGCAAGAGCAGCTTGTTCGTTGATGATGGGGCGGTGAGCACTGCATCGCTGCAGGAACACCACCCTCCCTGGCATTGTCGCCAGGTCCTGCGGCTGACAGCTGCTCAAAGGGATAATGGAAAAGAAAA